TATTTTTCTCAGCTGTCCCACTACTTCATATTTTATATCTCAAATGCTATTAATAAATACACCATTGGTAGCAAAGGAATAAGTGGATACAGAAACTTTCTTTGGCTCCGTATATTGCATGTATCAAGAGAGGTATATATTTAGACAGTTTTGATCTTCTGTCATAAATCACTTGTTTTTCTGCTTTGTCTCAAGAAGTGTAGCTACTTATACTTGAACAGAGCTCATTAGCCATTTGTTTTACTTTAAATACCTGGTGGGTTATTATCCCCCCTTTATGTATATATTTATTCAGCAGTTTGCTTTTGCTGAGTTTTTGCACTTTTTTGTAGGCAATAAGCATAAATACTTACTTATAAAAGCTTGTTGGCGGTGGATGTCTGAATGAATACATGGACAGATCTAAAAATTATGGCCATATTTAAATCCATTTGATTTTATAAATACTTATTGGGTGGCGTTAACTTTTGAAACAAATGACTCGGCTCCAATCATACAAATGATTTTGCAAAAACCTCAGCAGCCTTTGAGCAAATGACAGATGTCAAGCCTTACCATTTCTGTGAGGAAAGAACATACCACCAAAAGGAAGATGATCCTGAATTTCAAAATGGCTGTCCCTCAAGAATGACAGTGGAAAAAACGAATGCAAACCCACTCAGATATCCTATTAGTTACATGTAGTCGTCACTTAGCTGTAGAACTAGACGTATGACAGGTCCTCAAAGTTGTGGACATCAGTATCCCCATGGTCATGTGATCATGATTTGGGTGCTGGGCAACTAGTGTGCATTTATGACATTTGTAGCATGCCACATTCATATGATTACCATCTGAGACTTTTACAGCTGGATTCCAAGAAGCAAAGTCAATGGGGAAGCCAGCAGGAGGTTAAAAGTCATAGTCACATGACCTTGCACCAGAGGTGGGTTTCAGCAGGTTCTGACCAGTTCTGGAGAACCTGTAGCGGAAATTCTGTGTAGATCGGAGAACCGGTAAATAGCACCTCTGACTGGCCCCGCCCCCATCTATTCTCTCTCTCCCGAGTCCCAGCTGATCGGGAGGAAATGGGGATTTTGCAGTATCCTTCCCCTGGAGTGGGGTGGGAATGGAGATTTTACAGTATCTTTCCCCTGGAGTGGGGTGGGAATGGAGATTTTACAGTATCCTTCCTTTGCCATGCCCACCAAGCCACGGCCACCAAGCCATGCCATGCCCACCAAGCAACACCCAGAGAACCGGTAGTAAAAATTTTTGAAACCCACTACTGCCTTGCACGTAATGACTGTGGCTGATTTGCTTCAAGGCCACAGCTGGAACTGTCATCAGAAGTTGATGCGGTCACATGACATCGGTTTTGATGACCATGCGGCATAGCAAAAGAGTTTCTAGTCCCTATTGCTGTCAGTAAATGAGGACTTCCTCTACTCTGTTCCCTTAACTTTTCAGCTCAGTAGACAACTCCCACCTCAATCAATCCAGGTCATACTCAAAACAAAAGTGCGTATGTGACACATTTGCATTTTTACAAATATGTACACTCAAATATGCTCAAAACTAAAAAAAAAGGCAGGAGCCCCCAAAACAATTACAATGCATATTAACTGAAATAATAGCAACTGATTAAAAACAACTGGCAATGAAACAAGGTACCTCATGTGCCTGTCTGCACAAACCATTGTTTCACATACTAACTACTATTCCATCACTCATTTACTTACTTACACACAGGAGATTGTAAACTCAAGGACACCTATGGATTCCTTCTGTCGTAAGTCCTATGGAGTTCTGAAGCGCTCAGTCCCACATAATTAAGTTTCTGATTTTTGGACATGTTTAAAAAGAGTACTAGCCCTTTTTTGTTCCCCCCCTTCTCCTCTGTGTCCTTGATTTATGGCCACAATTGAGCCCAAAATTTCAGTTGCTAAGGCAAGATAGTTGTTAAGTGAGTTTTGCCCCATTTTATGGCCTTTCTTGCTACAATTGTTCAATGAAACATTACTTACATTAAATTAGTAACATGGTTGTTAAGCCCACTGATTTTGCTCATCAGAAGGTCACAAAAGATGATCACATGACCCCCAGGACACTGCAACCATCATAAATACATACCAGTTGCCAAATATCTGAATTATGATCATGTGGCCATGGCGACGCTGAAATGGTCGTAAGTGTGCAAAACAGTTGTAAGTCAGTTTTTTTCAGTGCAGTTACCATTTCAAACAGTCACTAAACGAATGGTTATAAGTTGAGGACTACCTGTATAGTGATTGAGGACTGCAATACCCAGTCTTCCCATCCATGGAAATGCCGGTGATTAAGGTTCTGAATTTTCTTGAGTCCTCACTGGAATGGACAACCATATGGCCAGAGAAGGCTTTTATTCTCTCCACAAGGGAGATACATAGCCTCACGAGCAAGAAGGTAGACCTAAAGACATTGGGGGTGCCCTCTTGAAGCAAAGGCACTGCTTTCTTCTCTGTTTCTCTGTCCTTTCTTCTATTGGCTTATCCTTCCATTTCCTACCTTGCTCCCTTGCTTTCAGTAGCGCCTTCCATTTTCCCTGTGCTCTCAATGAATGTATTTCAGCCTATGTGCATTTCAACTATGCTGCACAGAACGACAATTTCAGTAAAATTGGTATAGTTGTTATGTTGTTATGTTAGGGATGGTACATGATTAGATGCTAGTCATGGAGCCTGAGTTTCCCACTATTTCACAGCTGCAACTATTTTATAATCGCTTTCCAGTCATCTGGACCTTCTATTCTGTGGACACCTTAATGCCCCCTGTTTGCTCTTGACTTCAAAGCGAGTCTTTTTTCTTGTACCATGATAAAACTGCATTTAAAAAAAAAAACCACACCATCCATTCATCATACAGGTCTTTTTAAATCGTTAAGAAATTATGTAATTGTATTTGTGGTAATCTGTAACCTGTTTTCTGCTACAGGATTGATTCCAGCTTTGAAATAATTGCCAGCTGAAACATCTGTTTGTTTAACTAGTCTTCTGTAGGAGAGTATAACACTGCAACATTACATGATTGGCTGAACAAATAAACTTTCTGCATGCATTAGCTAGCCTTTAACTTAGAGCTTTTATGTAGCAATGCTATTCCGTTTCGAATTTCAGAAGATGCGTGAGCAGAGAGTTTCATTGCTGTCTCATGAAAACTGTCAATACATGAACACAGACCTATCCATTGATCGGTTCACTTGTTCTCGAAGTGTATGCTTGCACTGTATTCAGATTGGTAGAATTTCTCTAGGATCTGCCTCTCTATAGTGAGGTATGTGACTTCTCTTTCTTTCTTTCTTTTTCTTTCTTTCTTTTTCAAAATTTAAACTAGATGAGAGCAATAAAAAACTACACAAATAGATCAAGACTTCAGATTTTTAGAATAATACTTGAAATAATTTTCAGTCATGATAATTAGAAATGTTTTAGCAGTTGTTTGAAAAATTATAGTTATGACCAATGCCATGTTGGGACTGCTTTGCTGTATTTCGAGAAAATCTAGGACTTCATTGGATTTCAGATACTGTTAATCTGTGTCCTGCAGAATTGTCAAATATATGTTGCATACTTAACAGAGACATTTTTGTCATGATTCATAACATTGTTTTAAAACTATTTCTTATCAGAACTGATTATCAGTTCAGAACTGATTATCACTACAGTCCTGTGCATGTATAATATATGTCTAACTAAGCAAGAGATTTTAGAGTACATAATAAAAAAATCTTCTTTGAAATAACCTAATCTGATTAATTCAAATTGGCTAACTAAAATTTGACTATTTTAGTATTAGGGAAAAAATAAATTGTATCAGCTATTATATTACTATAAACATTTATGAATGATGTAGAAGTACATAGTTATCCATTGGCAAAAATAGGCTGGACAAATAAATTATTTTATAGAGTTAAGTGTATGATATAGTAAAATAAATATTTTAATTCTCTTTTAATTACTTTTTATTTGAGTGTGCCAAAATCTATTTATGTTGATATTTCCAAAATGATATTTTTTAATCTCCAAACTAAAAATGTAATGGGAAACTCAAAAACTCCAAATGAGCATTATTTTTGCTGGATTTCTCTTCTTATAGCTAATGTGCAATTATGTGACCGGTGCATGTTTAGTTTTCATTTCTATATATTTTGCTTCATTTTAAATTCACATCAAAGACTTATGCTGATAATAAGTATGAGACAACAGCAAGTTTAACTTATCTTTCTTTTTTCCTTTTCTTTCTTTTTTCTTTTTTAAAAAAGCTACTGGGCTGTAGCTAAATAACAGAAATCAGGATAACTGCAGCAAGCAAGTATGTTTGTGTGCCTTTTCTCCTACATAGATATAGTCCACCCTTTCATTTCTGTTTGCTGGAATTTGATGGTTTGTGGCTGGCTGCACCCAGGAGCAAGTGCAGCCACACAAACACATTTTGCCATACTGTATCTCTGTTACACTGTAGTCCTATTCAGGGTCATTGCACTGTACACATTACATATTTCTAGCAAACATGAAGATGAACAAAACAAGGAGTGTAGATAAGCGGAGATAAATTGGAGCCAGTTTATTACTAAATACAGTGTAAAATGGACAGAGCTTTGAATCGGCGCTGCTCTAGACTTTTCTCCTGTGCCTGTTTTTGACTGCTGGAACCTCATATAGTGAAAAATTAAATGACTAGAATAGTGGAACAATTATTTGGTAGAGATCCAGAAGCAATTGTGTTTGGAGTGATGTTTAAACCAATGTCAGGAAAGGCAAATACCTGGCTCAATGCCAGCACCTTTGTAAAGCATATTAGCTCAGATGAAAAGTTAGACTCCGAGGCAGAAAGAGAGAGCCAAAGAGCTCCCGGTGCTTATACTCACCTTGCTTGTGTCTTCTTCTGGGCTGGGATTAGCTGGATACATGCATGGTTGCATAACGTGGCTGAGGAGCACACTTTTGCCAAATGCTTCCATTCGATTTCTGCTCCCTTTCCAGGTGGACAGCCGGCTGCTGATTCCTCTTCAAGCACGGAACCTAGATAATGCGACGCATTTACTGCCACTGACAATGACCATGACCCTTCACACAAAAAGCTCCGGTGTTGCCTTATTGCACCAAATACAAGGCAATGAATTAGAGCCTCTTAGCAGACCACAGCTGAAGATTCCTCTGGAACGACCGATCAGCGAAATGTATGTGGACAGCAGCAAGACTGGGGGGTTTAACTACCCAGACGGTGCTGCCTACGATTTTTCCACTGCCGCTCCAGTGTACAGTTCGACCAGCCTCAGTTATGCCCCTACGAGTGAATCGTTTGGCACCAGCAGCCTGGGAGGATTTCATTCCCTGAACAATGTTCCCCCAAGCCCTGTTGTCTTTTTACAGTCGGCTCCACAACTTTCGCCTTTTATTCATCACCACAGCCAACAGGTACCTTATTACCTTGAGAACGAAGCAAACAGTTTCGCCATGAGAGAAGCTGCCCCAACAGCGTTCTACAGGTAAATCCTATAATTTCTTTCTTTCTTTCTTTCTTTCTTTCTTTCTTTCTTTCTTTCTTTTCAAAAAAAATACAGTATATAAAAAGTTAAGGCAAGGAAGGGGGAAATTCAATGTTAGGATGGGTATGCCTTCAGGATGGTTGAGTCACTGCTGAATAATTAGACATTGTGTTAGCGTCTTGAAAATTAAAAATCTCTGTTATGACTATTAAGCAACTATTGTTGCTGTGTATGCTAGAAATGGAGTGTTTATGAAACACAAATCAGATTTCCAACAGAAAATCTGCAGCCTGGGGAAAAACCAGAACAGAAGCCCCAATACTGAGTTACAAAAACAATAAACTGAAGCAAAACAAAAACTCCCCAAAGTGGAGATGCCGGGAAATTAAAATGAACGATGCAAACTTCAGGTTTTGGCTCCTCTCAGTCCAGGCTGTTCCTGCTCTGAATTTATGTAGCTGAATTTGCACTCCATTGTTGGAAATATTTTGTTCCTTGTCTGCCTTTATATTGCACTGACTGACTTTTATATAAAACGTTCAGGGTACCTGATGATTCACCTTCATAAACAGTCACAACTGACATAATGAGAGCATAAAACGGACTTTGGAAAGTATATTTAAGGCTTTGGAATGGAAGGCTTTCTTTCTTTCTGCACACAGAGAGAAAGTCTGTGATTTAAAACAGTGTTTTCCAAATGTATTTTCTCTACAGAGTATTCTCTACTCTTCGTATTCTCATCGAAGAGTTAAGACTTAATTTTAAACAGTCACCCACACACTTTTAGGAAAACAAGGGGGAGTAACAGATCACTATTCTAGCAGCTGTAAAGAGGCTCTGGAGATCTTTGAAGTAGGTGGCTGCTGCAATGGTGTCAAGATAATAAAAACAAAACATAGCAGGCATTGTTTCACTCTGTCAGGTTTATAATTAGCTAATGCAGAATTAAAATGAAAAAATAAATACAGATATATGCACTATGCATAATGGATTTAGGATCAAGCTACCTATCATGCTATATTTGCAGTGCGCAGTTGCTCTTTTACTTTCTAATTATTCAAAAGCAAGTTTGTGTGGTTTCTAATCTGGGTCAAGACTGCCACATGTAGAGTAGAGATTTTAAGTTCATCTCGTAGCTATTTGTCTTCCTAGTTACTATCCATTAAAAAAGAAGAAACAGAGCCTCCGTTGGTTCTTGAATGAGAATTTGGACAAAAGACAGCGGGACAAACGTGTGTGTGTGTGTGTGTGCATACCTACACACACCCGCACACAGAATAGGCAGCAGAATTTAACATAAATGCATAAAAAATATGTCTGCGTTACTGAAAAAAATATCGGATCTGTTCTCCATTTGTTATTTTGTTTAATGTTCTGCAATAAAATATGGGCTTAATTTGCATAGGTGGAAGTGAACCTGTGTTAAATGTTAACTGTTCGGTTATTCTGCTTTTCACTTTCCATTCCTAGACATTTTAGAAAATTTGTGATTGCTGCTTCACAAACCATAATTGGTATGTGGTTGATTTTGTGCCCTATTTATACCGCAGAATATTTTTTAAAAAATCCTTGAACTCTGGGTTAAATACTGCCGTCGCTAATTTTAAACATTTAGCTAATATTAAAAATTACACTCTTTCTAGATATTGGTCAGAAATGAAATCAAACAGGTGAAATGACAGTTACCGAAAAAGAAAGGGAATAGAAATTGTGAAATCCTTGGTGTTCTCTGAGCTTGGTTGTTTTCTTGAAAATGTTTCATTACTTGAAAAGAAGTCAGTAACAGATCCAACAGATGCACTCATTTTGTAGGGATAACAAGAAAAACTTACTTTAACTACCAGATGAAAGACTGAAATCAGGAAGAAAGGACCTGAAAGTGTTTCTCACCTGAATGGAAAATTTGCCACGTGTAGTGAGACCACACGTGGCTTTTGAGGAATGGCCATATCTTGATATCTATGTTGGTGACTGTATAGGGTGGGAAAAAAGCACTCCATGTTCCCTCTCGGCATTGGTCTTCTTGGCAGCCCTAAAAAAAGCAGCACTTGATTAATACTGCACTTGAGGAATGCCCAATGCCTGTAATTCCATTAGCCCAAATCCTCAAAAGTGGGGATTTTGCTGAGAAACTTTGTTTAAAGTAGTAGCAGAAGATGATGGGTGTTTCCCCAGACAGATAGCATACAGAACGGCTCCCTATCATTGATTGCTTTGGGCAGTTTAAAGGAACTCAAAGACAAAGCTAAGACTAGATACTTCTTTGTTTGAGCCTAAGGATACCATTCTCCTTCCATGTATAGGAGGCAGTATATTTATAGCAGATGTTAAGGACAATCACCTGAATTGCTGGCTGCTTCTCTTCATTGAAGGAGAAAACTGTATAGGCCATTTTAAGGACTTTGACCGCCAACATATTGACGTGGGTATATATCTTTGCTTTCAACAAGCTAGGGAATTTAGGAGGAAAACCTACCTCTGATGTTACCCAGATGTTTGCTATTCTAATTTTGCCCAAATAACCACTTGGACCCAAGGATCTGAGTTCTCTTTCCTCAATATATTTTTACTGGGAAAGGGAAGGGAAAATACTTGATATTCTAGGATGTGATCTTATCATTTGTAGTGGGACATAATATTTCCTTGTGGTGTAATTTTCTAATTCAGGAAATGGGAACATTTTAACAAATACGAGGATATAAGTGAATTTCAAAAGGTCTTAGCTTTCTCTTTAGATTTGCCTAAGGAGCAATAGGGAGCGTAGTGCATTTTGTTGCTATGACATTCTTCAGGTCCAAAAGATTTTGCAATCTTGTATCCGTTCATTTTTTTAATTAAATATTCTTGGTAAATTTAAAGACTCTGATATTAAGTTAAATTACTGCTCTGATTTGTTAATCTAGATGCTTTTAATAGCTATGCAGTGCTTGTAGCACCTGTGTCTTGAATTGGCCAGTGATATTATTTTAATAATTGCACAGTGCAATTCTGCACAGGTTTATTTAGAAATAAATCCAAATGGCCATCAGATTTATTCCCAAAAAGAGTGAGGACATGACTACTAGTTTATCTATCTGTCTCTTATATATTTGGTGCTGTTTTTTTTAAAGCTAAATTTTCATTAGCCTTGAAGAAAATAGTTCAGTCTTGATAAAGTGTTATTTATTATGTTTGTGGTCAGGAAATTTCTTTTGTGTATTTTCCTTCTATGATGGCTTCCTTTTTTGCAGATTTCTTTCATTTTATTTTAATTTTGGTAATGATAATATAATGGTAATATAACACATCCTGGAAATGATTCATTCAGAAATACAGTAAATTTCCCTGAAATGTATTGATTACAGCCTTGCCAAAATGATTGTATATTCACAATCTTCCTTGAATTATAGGGCTAGAAATGAATTATTCCCAGGTTCAGAGGTTGTGCTTTGCCTATGAATTTTAGTCTAATGCAAATTAAGTAGTATACTAGATATTAGAATTAGTTACTACAGATACTTTTTACCGGGAGTCTCTTATGAAGATGCTTCTATAAAAGATTATAGTTGTAGACTATGGTTTTTTTAATATCACATCGGCCTGAAATATGTACACTGGTAACATTGATAAGCTACTATTTCTACTGACACTTTTTTATTTTCCTAGTCTGCTATGAATTCACATTTTCCAGTATGCAGAGATCATAAAGATAATAGAGGAATGCTGTTTTTAAACTTCATTACCTTCATTCCTTCATTTTCGCCGCACACAGCTCTATGGAATTAGCTCATGGTGGCAGCCAAAGAAAAATGTTCTGTCTTCTACAAGGCTTTTCTTTTCTTGGCTGCAAAATGGGGAAAAAAAACATGATATGTATCCAACTGTTTTCACTTGGTGCAGATAATGATTGGGTTCACATTTTAATCTAGTTCAAATCTCCCCGCTCATCTTCCCATTAGCTTTGATGATATTAGAAATTACAGCTGGTTGTTTTAATAAAGCTTGAGTGTTGATTTCCACCTTTGGATATTTCATAAATAAAACATAGGAGATGGAAACAGATGTGCTAGAATCCTTATCTCACAATCGCTTTTCTGTAACTTTCCACTGACCACCCAGTTGTTGGATCTGAAGCAGAGGTGGGCTTCAGCAGGTTCTGACCAGTTCTGGAGAACCGGTAGAGGAAATTTTGAGTAGTTCAGAGAACCAGTAGTAAAAAGTCTGACTGGCCCCGCCCCCATCTATTCTCTGCCTCCCAAGTCCCAGCTGATCGGGAGGAAATGGGGATATTGCAATAAGTTTCTCCTGGATTGGGGAGGGAAGGGAGATTTTACAGTATCCTTCCCCTGCCATGCCCACCAAGCCATGCCATGCCACGCCCACCAAGCCACACCCACAGAACCAGTAGTAAAAATTTTTGAAACCCACCACTGATCTGAAGGTACATGCAGTTCAGTGGCCTCTTAGTTGAGAGGAAGCGTTGCAATGTCTCATTGTCCAGGTTATCAGACTAGTCATGGGCATATAATCGAGCAGGATTTATTGGTAGAACTCTAAGTGATTTGCAGTAGAATAGCAAATGTCTCCCAATTGTTAAAAAACAATCAAGGTTAAATTATCTAAATCTAAATTAGACAGCCAATCCCTAATCCAGTGTTTTTCAACCTTGACAACTCTAAAATGTGTGGACTTCAACTCTCAGAATTCCCCAGCCAGACATCCTGTTCCTAACCCAACCAGTTCCTAAGGTTGAGAAATATTGCCCTAGTCTCTTATTTGATCTTATTTGAACATGTACTGCATGGATCATGGAATCCAACAGGATTGTTCTCCTGGAATCACCATGTTACATCTGCTTCCACTGCTTGTTTTTAGAGTTTTGTCCTCCCATGTACTAATCTGTTGATCAGCTGTATTATTCCTACTCATATTTTGGCCTGGTGATTTATCTCTAGATGGTTTCTCAATTCTTTGCATCTGCCTCTTTATTGTTCTTTCATTGCCCTTTCAAGTTGGGAATA